TATCTCTAGATTTCCTTTACTATAAGTACTAGTATTATATTTGTGTTATGAATTAATTTTATGATTTTGTATTTTGGTATAGAGTGTGAAATATGATAGTGAAGTTACAAGGTATGGAGGCTAGGCAGAGTATACTATAGTTGATAGTATTATAGCGTATTCTTTAATGACCATGCTACTGTTCATGTCTACAGGCGACGATTGCCGTTTTCCATCAGGTAAGTCGGTAGCTCAATAAATGGTAAAAGAATATTAATACAGAATATAAACCGTATTAGTCTGTCTTTTTCTTAATCAGATTTTGTTACTACTTTAATAAAAGTTAAATAGGAAGAAAAACACTGATTCAAATTAAATATACCTTCACTTAAGTCCTCTACAGCAAGCATTTACACGTTACCTACTTCATTAATTGAAGGGAAGACTATAAAAATTTGATGAGAGCGACGTTACGGCGACGCAAAGAAAGTAGAGCTACGTTTGAGACAAAATTGAGAGAGAAATATATACTAAAGTTTATTTACACTGTTTGGTTAGAGTTAGCGAAATGAACTTGTACTATTCATTAGAATATCCATTTAGTAGGTATTGCTTCAGTTCACGCCAAAGCGTAGCTTGCCTTTGTACAGTTAATTTACTTCGGTTAATTAGGTTTGGAGGTGTCGTCGCCTTGTTATTGTAAGTCAAGCTAATTAAAACAATAATGATTTGTTGTGCAGCCGTTAGAGTGTATAAATTTTGTTCACCCACAAATGAAATTATTTGTGCTAAAAGAACCATATAAGAATTTATTATAACTTCTAAGAATTCTATATTATAGAGGAGTTTTATTTTTTTTTACGCTTTATTGCAGTAATATTATATAAATGATTTATGGATACTGCATAAGACCGCTTAGTAAGTTCTATTGCTAAGCAATCGTTTCCAGACAACAAGTTTATTTTTTATTTATTAGAATTTTTTATTATCTTAAATCAGATTAAGACAGAGTTATCAGTTATGGCAATAATTTCTATGCTATATCTCATTAATACAATAAGCAGAAACTCAAATATAAGTAAGACATCATACATTTCTTCCATCGTAATTTGTTTAATAGATATTCTGTTATGTTGGACATTATCATTATCCGTTGTTATAAGATTAATTTTACTTTAAGCATTATTATTAGTATCTTAATATTCATTGTAATTATTATGCTGTATATAAAATGTCTTTAAATTCTTAGTATTTTTCATTACCTTTCGTTCTACATCTCGCAAATATCGTCTTATGTTTCGTTGTTTGTAAGATTTAATTTCTATTTGTTGCTTAAATTTTAAGATGTATCGATGACATTATCTGCGGTAACATAATTTACCAACCAACTTAGCAGGGCAGCGTTCCGGGAACTACGCTATATCTTTTCATCCAAAAAGACAAAGATTGTAGACGAAGTGCGTGTTGCAAGTAATGATCGACAGAAGCGAAATATGGTCTTATACTTTACCCGTATGCAAAAGCTTCAAATTATTCTGCAATCTATTTAAAGAACTATGCTTGTAGTTTATTTTTGTGATGAAAGAATCATTTATTCTTGATCAATGAGGCTATCCGCGGAAAACTCAAATTCACATATTCCGAAGGATAAGAAAGCTAAAGATACAATGGGTTTTTTTTAATGGGTGATAATGGAATGGTAACCCCACCCGCGCTATTGGTATACACCGGCGGGGCACCAGTGAAGGATGATAGGTGAGGATGAAGTAGGTCAGTTAGCCCATCGTGACGAATTCAACAAGAATTGTTTACGATGGTTTCCAAGGGAAACCACGTGGAGGTCGACCTAATAGGGCATATTACTAGCAATGGAGCTATCAAATTCCATTGCTAACAATCCTTTCCCTCCAATACAATGGGATTTTCACATAGCTCGAAAAACCAATAACCAATGGGAAAGAAAGGTTCTTCAGTGGTGATCTTATATGGGCGAACACAGTGTAGGACAACCTTCCATTAGGTGGAGTGATGACCTCAGATTGCAAATGCAGATTGCGGTGGCCCAGGGTCGTTCCTTATGGCAGTCTATGGGGGAGGCCTATGTTCAACCAGTGGACGGTTAATATGATGATACGACTGATATGATGATGATGATGATGATGATCCTATTCATTATCACAATACTATAATAATGAATTGCCGTTGATACACTCCCTTAATATAATGTATGTGATTATCTATGTTTCTGATTTAATACTATCACAGCTAATTAGTTTTGACCTGCGAGGCATGTGATTGCATATTATGTAAACTATCATGATAATACTAATACATATAATATTGTATACATTGTATAGAGTAATCATATTATATACTAACTGCGTTAGTTGCAAATTCAGCAATATATGGTAAATGTTAAATCCCCTAAGTGGTTATTTTAACTGTGCAAGTTTTATATAAAGTATGAGTTGCTGCTTTGATCTTCAATATCCTTGATTACGAGTATTTCTAATTATTGATACTGTTTAGGAAAAACTACTGTGTACTAAAAGATTTTTTTTCTCCTAATTATCATAACAATGCACAGCCAAACAAAAAAAAACTTTAAATATTTTTTTTTTTATTTCAAATTAAAGGAAAATCACGACACCACGCTTGCAAAGCTGCAAACAAGAGCAATGATTAGAAATAGAAATTGCATAACAAATATTTTACCACATTAAAGAATAAAATCTTAAATTTAAGACGTGAATGGTTATTTGATTGGAATTGTTTTGTTTAATTCCGCTAATATTAGTATGTATGTGACTTTGATAGCACTTAAAGACATAAAAAAAACACCTATTTCCGTAGAATGTTTAAGATATGAACTATTTTTTTGGATTATTGATCGAAATAGACAAAGCGATAAAATTAGACGAATGTATTAGCCAAGTAAACAGTTTTACAAAGAAAAAAGATGCTCCGTTGTTGATAAAATTTTTATTTACTAACCGAATGGCTCCATAATGTCTTATGTTTGATAAGGGTTGAACAGTCGATATGTCGGACACATCCATTTCAGGATTTTCCTTTGAGACAACCTTTTTATTTATTTGCTGAACACGACTATCTACTGAAAGGTACGCTTATCGTATATAGCAGTGATAAAATATGAGACATTATTTACAAAGTAACTCCCAAAGCAGCAGTCAAGGATTAAATGTCTACTTACAATAAGCAGAAATAGAACAGTGGATAAAGTTACTAAGAGTAGACAATTATTATGCTGCCTGCCGTTGGTAACTTTATCCTACTTGATCCATTATTGTATTTTCTATTCAATTCACAGTAATAAGTCGACGTTTAATAGACTAACAATATTGCATCTCCCAACCGCAATGGAATAATTTTATGGTATCACGACACTTCTATTTTATTCTTTTCTGTCTGTTTGAATTTTGTTTATAAGAACAATTTTGTACAATATATACATACCAAGTAAACAGGCATTTAAAGTCTTTTAGAGAAGAACTAGCTGATCCGGCAAACGTTGTTCTGCCATATAAATATTTTTTTACCCTAATCACTAAATATGTTTTAAAAGCTATTATCGTGCCTACCAAATATATATAAAAAATCTTAAAAAGCTCGACGACAAGCACTGTGACACGCAATTTGTATATATGAGATTTTAACCTATATTATCAAAGAATGAAATTTTTGTTTGTATTCTAAAAATGAACATACTTAAACTATAGTCTATTTCGTTACAATGTAATGGAAATATGTTTAGACGAATAACTGACCCTACAATAAGATAATATGCAAAAGTACCTAGTACAAATAAAAAATATATTAATTAGTTGAATATTTCGATATGTTGAGCACTAACTTTATTTAGAAAATACACTTGATATTTATCAATAAATTATAATAAATATTTATCAATAAATAAATGAAGTATAATTTCTGTGATAATTTCAACAAAGCATTGTTACCTTTTCATTAAGTTGAAGTAGTCTGAATTTGATCTGTTCACTGCTGGACATAAGCCTCCCCACATAGGCTGGCATTTGTATTGAATAAAATAAAATATGAATCAAAAATACATAACCCAATTCGCCTTGTAGATCCTCAACGTTCAAACAGAAAGAAGCACGAACATCCTTGTTAAACAAATTTTGTATTCGGTACACACGGAAGGGAATATAATAATTCGAACGTGTCCACACGATTTGTCGCAGTGCAGCTGACGTGCTTCAAGAATCCTTCAATGTCTGCTTCTCGATATATTTTGTATAAGATTTGCCATTCTCGATTAAACTTGACACAGTTTACCAAAGTACTAATATGAAACATGTGTTTTAAATAGGATTTTATTAATAAAATTCAGTTTGTTTAAATTTAATACTGTATAATAATGAAATTGTAAGGAAACGTTGTCTTTACATAGATCTTTAGACAAATAATATGAGGATCTTAATAATACAAAAAAATGCCTAAACAATAATTATTAGAATTGTTTTCTATTTAATTCTTTGTCTGTACATTTGTTCTAATATAACATAAAAATTGAATGTGGTTTTTACAGTTATTTATTTATTTATTTGAAAATTACTCACCACACTTACAGTCTCCCAAAACGTGTAGAGTTTATTTTACAAACTTACAAATTTTGTAAATGTTTATGTTGTCTGAATATCTACTTTAAAAGTTAGTGTATATTTTATCTTATTACGACATCTGGAAGTGACCTATTTCACTGGTTTCCTACTTCTGAAATCCACGCATGTGAAGTAGCGGGAAAAAGCTAGTTCCTTGATAAAGTTCAGTATGTTTAATAAAGAAAAGGGATTGTCTTTGGATAGAAGTTTAGAACTTGTGATACTGCGCCAATAGTGTAATATTTTTATATTGGGCACATATTTGAAAAATTTTTGGTCATGTAATATCATACCGTATTTAATACATTAAGGGTAAATCATAACATTTTTTTCTTTTAAAAATATTTTATATTTACAATTACAATTTTGTTCCAGTGGATTTTCGGTTGTGGCACCAGAAGTAGCTGTGCCCGGAAAGACAACAGCTGTCCTTGTCACCCTACATGGAAGAGCTGGAGATGAGCTGGATCCTCTGAATGTCACCGTCAGACTCGAGACGCAAGATGCCGATAACGATGTGAAACTGTTGACCACTGCGAGCCAGATGATTACAGGTGTGTTTTTATCTACCTTCTATTTAGAGGATAGGGTTCAAACTGTAGATATTGACGGTGTAAAATCTAAGGGAGCTAATATTAAGATGGGCGTTCCACAAGGGTCAATCTTAGGCCCCTTTCTCTTTTTAATCTACATAAATGACCTTCCCTTTATGGTAGAGAAAATTGCAGATATAGTGCTGTTTGCGGATGATACTTCGTTAGTGTTTAAAATTGGACGTCAAAGTAATCAATTAGACGATGTAAATTGTGCTATGTCTGCAATATTAAATTGGTTTACATGTAATAACCTATTATTAAATTCCAGCAAAACAAAGTGTATAAAATTTACACTTCCTAATGTAAGACTAATAAATACACAGTTATTGCTTAATGACGAAATAGTAAATTTTGTTAATGATACAGTTTTTTTAGGTATAACAGTGGACTCGAAATTACAATGGGGGCCCCATATTTCAAAATTGGCCAGTAGACTCAGTTCTGCTGCATATGCAATTAGAAGAATTAGGCAATTAACAGACGTGGCGACGGCTAAACTTGTATATTTTAGTTATTTCCATAGCATAATGTCTTATGGCATACTGCTGTGGGGTAAAGCAGCCGATATAAATACTATATTTGTTTTACAAAAGAGAGCCATACGTTCTATTTATGGTATGGGTTCAAGAGAGTCATTACGTCAGTGCTTTAAAGACTCAAATATCCTCACAGTTACTTCACAATACATTTATGAAAATATTATGTATACACGGAAGAACTTAGCGAGTTTTAAAAAACTCAAAGACTGTACAAGTAGAAACTTACGCAATATAAATAAGCTTATTTTACCTAAATGCCGTCTGCACAAAATCAGTAATTCATTCTATGGTAATTGCATAAGATTTTATAATAAACTGCCGGAATCTGCATTAAATCTGACAGAGAGGCAATTCAAATCTTATATTAAACAATTTTTATGTAAGAAAGCCTATTACAGGATAGACGAATTCATAGATGACAACATATCAAGTAAATAATTAGTTTATTAGCATACAACGTTATAATTTTATTTTCTCATTGCTTTCTTGATTTAATTGATTAATTTTAGAAATATGAAAGCGTAGCGGTTTTTTGTATTAATTGCCGCATGCATTCTTATGTAAAATGTGAATACTATAACTATCAGATGGCAATTGTGAGTAGCTTTGACGTGGTCTGGTGTTTTGAGTAGTCATGCTCACTAAAATGTCCAGACTTGTGGCGGCGTGGTGGGCCGGGTCATTGGGCTCCCTAAAATATGGTCGAGCGCAGTGATGGCTGGCTCATCCGTCATACTCGTGAACGGGTGCTGCTTGTAGGGACTGGTCTGCTCTAATCACTATGACTGATTTCCTCTTATTAATTGTTTAACCAGTTGGTTATGTATTCAATTTTTTTTTTCTTTTTGAGTATTTAATTGAATTAGTGCTAATTGGTGGTTTGTATTCACACAATTAAACTTAAAAATGTAAAATAATAATAAAATTATTTAAAAGAGCATCACGCAAGTTTCTTGCTCGTTCTTCTTGTGATGAGACAGCTTTCCGAACGAGCGGTAAATTAAAAAAAATGTAATGACTTTTCAAAAGTGCTTCAATGTAAGTTTATTTGAATAAATGATTCTATTCTATTCTATTCTATTCTACTATGTATTTTCAAATGCAAACAAGTATAAAAATAATCGATATTATATTATAAAGAGGAAAGGATCGATTTTATTGTATATTTTTTTGTTTATTTGTAATAGATAAACTTAAAAACTAAAATTACATAAATGATTTTAGAAATTCTTTCACCTGTACAAGGCTACATTGTCAGTGAGTAATATAGGCTATATATTATTTTCTGTCTACACGTGCGAAGCCGGAGCGTATCGGTAGTATATTACAAAAGATTATATTTTTTATATTGCATATAATGTAAATAAAGTATATTTATTAATTCATTGATAGATACTAATACAATAGAAGATAGATCAGGGTTTTTATTATGAAAATTAAAGTTCTAGTTAGTGTTATAGTGAAAGAAAATAGAACAGTTATTTTCAAAGAAAAAAAAATCACGTCAGTAAAATAAAAACCTAAAAATTATATTAAATTATTCACAATTTAAATTTAGTATTATAAATACTTTACGCGTATTTATCTTGATGCAATAATATATTTAAAAAACTTCAGAAACTTTTCTATTTAATGAGATATACAACTTTAAATTTGATTTCTGACCTGTTTGTACACGTTTACTCGTATCTTAACTTTCAACGTTTATTTTTTAACATAATTTTTCTACAGACCCTGGTAATTATTGATTATTCTCATGCTAATTGCTTCACCTTAAGTTTGCTAAAATTAAATATTTGGTCGCGAAATTTGGAATAAAATATCAAAAAAGGATTTAAATTTCAAATTAAAAATTATAATTGATATGGCGATTAAATTATGGGTATAACACCTTAATCCTGGGGAATGGCAATACATGAAGGGGACAGAATATCCATAGCAGTATTCATGTATATAGGTGACAGTTACGATTTTTCATTAGGTGGGAAACTTCTTTGCCATTTTAAGTTGCAAAAAGAAATACTGGTTTCAGACTAAATATGTCAATCTATAAATCGTAATCCGATAAAATGGTAAAAGTATTTTTTTAAGAACTTGAAATAGTAAACAAGATTTCATCTAATTAAAAGTGGTCACTATCGCTTATTGATACCAACAGCGCCATAAATACGTAATATAAACAAATAACATAATTTATTGTCGATGATCATATTGATGCATGAATTAGTTGCACCGACAAGAGGAAACTCTTAAATGAAAATGAAAGATCATATTGTATTTATTTTATAATTGTTATTTTATGATATTAGGAAAACTGGCAGCTGATAGTAAATACACTTGGTACCTGTCACCTATAAATATGAATAATATTCCTAAAGACCATATGATTATGCTTTCTCACCCAGTGATTACATAGCCATACTCTAGAAACATTAAAATTAATGAGTTCTTTTTTTAATTTGTTTCAAGTAGTTGTATTGAAATCAATGTTAGGTACATTGATTCTTTTTTATCATTATTATCTACTTGTGTCTATAATTATGTTTATATAAAAAACAAATTTTACTTCAACAACATTAAATCCAAAGTTATTTCAAAATGAAGCAGCAAATATTACCGTGATCAGGAATCTACAGCTTGCTGTTGGACCGTCATGTCCCAGATACGAAGAAGTTATTACGACTTCTGTAAAAATCTCATCCGTTTCACAGATACTGTTATTGAAAACTCCAGTTACTGGCAGATGTAGCTAAAGTACATTCCGAATTGTATATTGAAAAATATTTTTCCATCCACTGGGAATTTTATAGCTAATTATATTACTTTAGATATATTTTATTATCTATATTTGGTAATACGTAGTAAGTTTCATTTCTTAGTTTTTTGCAACTATGATTATGTAATAAGTTATTTAAGCTTTCCTGACTCATGCAAAGTGATATAAAAGGTCGGCTTAAGACTGTTGGTATTCTCTGAATGTATCTGAAGGGATGTTTTCCCTTGATAAGTTCAGAAATAAATATTCGAACACGATTTAAAGTAGAAAACAAATACGTACTTAAAAACATACTTATATTATTTTTTTAATTAGTATTATAAATATGTAGGTAAGTTTATATTTTATCTTTTAATTGTTTATTATGTCTTCACACCGTAATAAATCATCATAAAATTTAGTATACACATACTATTTGGAATGGAGAAAAACATACGATACTTTTTATATCGACGAATATATCTTGGTCACAGGGAAAAAGTTACAAGTAAAAGGTAGTTCAATAGAATATCAACTCAATGATATATACTTGGAAGCTATTTCATTCACTAACTAGAGTGTATATAGCGCAGCAAGACGATTCAGAATAAATATCAATTTACGATGTCTCCGGGAATCATAAAGACATTTTGTGACGTCTAGAAAACTTCAACCATTTCGCTGCTTCAATTTCTAGTGCACCGCAGTGCCATCCTTAAACTTGAATGTATTTTCTATTTCCATTAAAACTTTCTTAATGTTTCATTTTAGCTGTCCGTCATTCTATTTTGGTTTTTGTAATCATTTGAAAACAAATGGACGTGACAGTCGCAAAAATCAAGCTTAAACTCCACTTTAATATTTGAAGTCAAATTCTCACAAGTTTTTGTCAGTTTTAAGCCGTTATGTTTATTTGATGTTTATGCTATCTACAATTATAAAGTTATTTATCCTGGCTGACTATTTACGCACAGCCAAATCTGCTTTATCTAAAAATTTGAAATTGGAACATGGATTCATTTTATATTGTAAGCAACCGCTAAGAGAGAATTTTGAAAATTAAACTCAAAGACAAAACACGATACCATGCATTCAATGCCAACGGCAATAGCTAATACACGATAAAAACATAGTCATTAAGATCCTTTTAAGAGAGTATTTTACTAATAAATTTGATCATTTTTTTTAAAGAAACAAGCATCGAAAAATAACAAAAACTTCGAACCTGACACATATTAATAGCTGGATGTGCTGTGGTCGTATGAGAGCCTTGAAATACCATATACTTGCTACGGGATGCCTTGATATATATTGGATCTACGCAGTATTGCATACGGCATACTATATTGATAAATACTTTTAAAATATCTGAACTTTAACAACATGAATTTAATTATTTTATATATCAATTAACTTAACTTTATGGACACTCACTATTATATATGGGTTCCTTACATACATGTGCTTATATTACTTGCATACACCCACTCTAACTTGCCTACCTCGCTATGGAATCAAAATTTTTGTTTGTATAAGTAAAATCCGTTATTGGCTGTATTCATAAGAGACTTAGCATGTAAGTTATTTTTTTAAGAGCTGTGGATTTTTGTATAAAATAAAGTAAAAAAAAAATAAAAAAATACATATTGGTTGAAAAACTAATG